TTATCATTATTTTCAATTGTAGTAATAATAGTAATATTAGTAATATCGCTTTCAGGTGAAGATTTAATAAATATAAAATTGCTTCTTTATTTGTTTTCAAGTTTGAGGTTTTCGAAGTTTCAAATTTTTACAGTTAACTGAATAGCTAATATTGACTCACGTTCATTCATACCAAATCCATAATCAAGGAGATTCTCAGCAGAGTCTAGATCGAAAGTTGAATTGGGTAAGCATATTGCTGAGGTGGTTGTACCAAACTAAAAAAGGATGATTAGTTCAAGTGACTGAGGTGAATACGATATAGTGAAATTTCGATAAGTCAGATATACCGAGAATGATGCATTAGTGGTTAATTGAGAGAATAGATTGAGTAAACGAAATATGATTTCTTAAAATACTTTAATTACACTAAAAGTATTTTCTTTTTTTTTAATCAGAGAGGAGATACAATTAAATTTTAGCGATATTATTGGTTTAATTTACCGCCAAATCAGATTCCACTTCAATGATTGCAAAATCATGCCCATTTGAGCAACCTGCATCTACGAAACTAAAAAAAATTTTCGTGAAAATTTTTACTCTATTTTCTACAAATATTTTATCAACCCTTATTGAATTCGAAAAGTTCTCGAACGAAATTTTTTTTTATATCTGCATAGTATTAGCATAAATTAAAATGACGGTACCGATCAGTCTAAAAGTTTGAATTTAATTCAGTTAAAATCTAATTTAAAAAAACGGGTCCAACATACCGTTGGTGGACAGCAATTCTACGAATTTTAGCTGTCATGCATAATGGTCCATCACATGGTGGAAAAAGACTTCGTAAGCATACTCCGCCATATCGTATTGTAATTTGAGTTATATCATCCAGAGTTGTAACAAACCTAAAGTGGATTACTGTTGTGAAGAGACGAATGCAGTAAAGTATTGATTAAACTTGATATAATTTTGTGATATAACCAACATGCACGGCAATTGGTAAACTTCGAATTTCAGGACGCAATGTGCTGCAGTAAGAATGTGTCGCTTTGAGATGATCGATCCACCACAGTGATTGTAATCCTCATTGGTTAACGTTAATGCTACAGCCCATGGAAATTGACCTGCTTTTGCAGCTGATCCAGCCGAGATTTTATATGCTAAAATAGCATCAACCATTGTAATAGTTTTGTGTAATGACGAGTGAAAGAAATGATTCAGGGCTGACGTAAAAGTTGACGTGCGTATGGTGTATTAAGCATGATATTGAATGGATGAATTTTTGTGCATTGATAACATTATATTATGTGAATA